ATGGTAATCTTCATCTTTATCGTAAAAATTATTTTTGACAAATATACCCGTGAATAACGGTTGAATGGATAATACATTTAATGTTTTATAAAGTTTCATCACTATCTTTCTCAGGCTTTCTTAGATCATGCATACACATATTTCTGTAATTGATGGAAAATTTCGTCCTTTCATTGTTAAGTTAAGATTATTCAATAGATCGTTCAATTCGGAGACAAAAATATCAAAAATATCTATCCTAATTGATTGCTTTTTTTCCTTTCCTTCCATAATGAAATCTCGACAAGGGTCGGTGTTAATTTATGTATTCGAATACATTCTACATCATATTTCTAGTTTTGTACTTTAATAGATATTTTTTCCATTTTTCTGATCCTTAACAAGATTACATCGTCATACTTGGTACCTGTGTTAGATACATATTGAGGTTGAAGAGAAGTAGATTGTAGACGAAGCAATATTGAGTAAAAAACTACTGCGAAGAACGGACTTTGATCTTTATGAAAAAACACATTTATTTATTCAAGCTATTGACAGGTGGTATCCGTCATCGTCAGGAATATAATATTAAAAAAAATGAAAAAAAAACCTACATTTATAAATACAATGTGAAATAAGATAACGAACATATTCACTAAGAGATAATAATAGTTCGTAAATTATAAACATTCACTGATTAATTTACTTTTTTCTTTTACAGCATACGCTGTGTAATGTGTTATTTAACAGAGATCAAAAGATCTTCATGGTAGCAATTTTATAAATAGTATTCTCTTATCTACGTTCTACTTCTTTTCAACATCACTATTTATCATAAATAATGTTTTTTCTTTGCTGAAATAGGTCATTTTATCATTTCATGCTATCGCACAGCTATGACTCTAACCAACCTCTAGATAGAAGAGTTTCCATGAACGTATATGAAAACGAGAAAACATGGTATAAACATTTAACAGACTCTAGGTTCATGACAGATAGATATACTTCTATTAAGACAAACAACTCGCTGGAAATTCGAAGTTCAAAATCTTCTGAAATTTGAATAATTAATTTGCAAGTCTTTTGAATTTATGTTTACATGATGAATTCAGAAAAATGCTTGGTTATCAGACAAAACAGTAGCGTTCTTTTCTAGAAATGAAAACTAAGGAAAACTTAGTATTTTTACTATGACTAATTGAAGTAGAACATACAGACGAGCATACTTTTTTCTCATTAACTATGTGTCACATGAAAGAATTCGATCATGATCCTTAAAAAATAGTTTTAGCATATTCCTTTCTTATTCATAGACACTAAATTTTTCAATGAATAAAAATAGCAAAATTTCACAAAATCTATCAGTTGTGTAGAATGATTTTTTTTCTTTTAAGAATTTATTCTATACATTAAGCCATTACAGTAACGTCTCTTTAATATAGACCAATCTTGCGCTGATTCACGATTGTTCACTAACTGATCGATTATCAATAGACTAAATGTCATCCACAAGTTCATCGCTGAGCACCATCTTGCTCAACATTCAACGACAAATGATTCGTTATGTTGAGTCAACTTATCTAGCTTTGGGTTTGCTCTGCTGCTTTCTCAATATTGGGTTATTTTCTCGACAGCGATTTCGTTCAGTGTCCTGCAGCACATGTAAGTGATTTTTTCACTACTTACAAAAAATCAACACGAAGAGGTACGTAAAACTATTTGGTCAGAAAATAACGCTGTAATTTCAAATAACATTAATATGCTTGTGTCTGTCTCATTTTTTTGTCATAAAATCGTTAATGGTTGTTCTACTGATTATTGACTGTGTTTATCAAACGCTAAGAAAACAATATTACTTTATCATTTTCATCATTTTAGGTGAAATCCAATTTACTGTGTCTGATGAAATGATTTTTTTTCAGTTGATATCATGTACCATTTTATGAATCTACTGAAGTCAACACTATAAAATTAATCGAACATTTTCTATTGAATATTCATGAATTCTATTTTCGGCTAGGGGTGTCATCTTCTACTTTTTATTGTTAGTGCTATATCAATAATTATTCGATGATGATAACACTTACCACTTATCTGGTAAGTGGTAAGTGTGGCATTCCTATGTTCGATGTGCTTTAATTTTACATAAAACTTTCTATTGATGTCATTTGAAATTATAATGTTACCTAAAAAGAAATTTTTACGTACTGTGTGCTTTGATTAAATATCATGCTCTACTATCTAGACGGATCACAGAGATGTTTAAGAATATCCATCCATAAAGAAACTAAACCTAATCTATATTATCTATCCTTTTGTGCAGATTTTTTAGGATGCAATGTCGCATGGACAATCACGTTATCTTGGGGGCTTGGATTCAATCTGTATACACTCAACCATGCGGACCCAAGTCTTAACTCTGCAGTCTTTTGCAAACTGCGTCTGTATGTACTTCAATCCATCGGCATGATATTCCGTTGGTGTTTAGTTGGTGCTTGTTTTGATCGTTACGCATTGTCATCAGCCAACGCATGTCTTCGTAATTTTGCTGCAGTGCGTGTAGCACATCGTGTTGTAGCAGTGATTGTGCCTATCTGGATTGTACTACCGGTACATATCCTAATTTTCTATGACTTGAAAGCAGGTGGATGTGGTATTTTCTATAACACTGTTGCAGCATTTTATCATAGCACTTTTACTACTTTATTCGGTGGTTTTCTTCCGCCGTTATGCATGATTATTTGTTCTCTATTAGTTTATCGCAATCTGCGTATGAAGAGACAACGCCGTCATATTGCGATCAGAAGTCAAACTGTAGCCATAGACGTAAGCACACAGTCAGAACGCATTAGTGATCAACAAGTTCTACTGATTTTATTCATTCAAGTACTTATATATGTCATTCTAAACACACCGCTAATGAGTTTTTTCTTTTATAACGCTGTCACACTCAATACTGTGTATAAGTCACCTGAACGTCTGTCTATCGAACGATTTACTGGCTTTGTAGCCGAACTAACTCTTTTCTCATATATTATTCCTTTATTCATTGTGCAGACATTGGCGTCACGTACATATCGCCATGAACTAGTAAAAATGCTTAGCCATATATTTTGTTTGAAAAGGTACATTAATAGACGTCGTATCGAACCAATAATCAGCCATACTCGCTTGAAAAGATTTCAAGTACCACAGGTTGGAGCAACATCAAAAGTTTCACAGATCGGTCCTGGTGGTGAGTCGTTCGACTTTGCAATCAAATCTGTTCAGCCACAAAAACAAGCATGATCCTACTCGTTAGCATATTTCTTTTTATCGATTCTCAACACTATTATCAACATTAGCAACATAGTGATTCTGTTCGAAATGAGAAGACCTTAGTATACTTTCGAACACATGAGAACTTTTAATAACTATCTTTCGACAAGGTGGTTGAATGATGGAAAAAGCCTTATTTTTACTATGGAGTATCGGACATTTTCTTTCGTTTTTCTTTGTATTGTACAATTCTATTAATATTAATACCATTAAACTCTAGCTTTATGTTGTGTGCTTCAAATATGGCATTCATCACTCTTCTTATTTGAATAAAAAATTCTTTCAATTTGATTCTTTGTATTTTGTACTATTCTCATTCATATGTGGCATGTGGATATGAAAGAAGAGACTTGCATGAGAATGTAGATAGGTCATAGTATGTAATTGATTGTTAGAACAACGCACTAAATAATGAAATAAGAACCTCAATGATCAATACTAACGTAACTCAATCTGATTCCAAAATTAAACGTTCAGAAATAGACCAAGGGGACATTAACAACCACTTTTGTTTTTAAAGATCATTATCAGCAGTTAATTTAGAAAGAGGAATGTTCTTGAAATATTCAAAACTCTTCAGTAAATTTTGCTGAATTTATTGGTACAATTACCCTTATATGATGATATGAAGTATTTATCATGAGGAGAGAAAAACATTGCTACGTAAATTCTCGATTTATTTAATGATCTTTTTTTTTCTTTCCTTTAAACAATATTTTTCTAAATTAGCAACCACTCGTTATATAGATCACATAAACAGATGATGAGTGACGTAATACAATCGAAATGAACAAAGAAGTAAACATATGCATCTCAGATAATATAAATATGTTGAAATAGAAATAGCAATAATCCTCTATAAGTTAACTTATCACAGTTAAATTTACAGTGTTCGCTCTTGTTCAATTAAGTCAATGATAATAAATACATATGAATATATTTATTATTCATAATTGGATACTAAATATACGAATTTTAAATTAATTTGTGGTATCTTTTTTTCAAACTATCTTTTAAATGAATGTATAGTTTAATAAGGACACTTTTACTTTGGACTACCAGCTATCGTGAATAGGTTTTTTTTACTTCATTTATTTTCGGAGCAAAGGTTAACGAGTTTATTTTCTCTCATCGTCGTAGTTCTTCTTTTTCGAAAGAATATTATGAAATATAGGAAATAAAATATACCTTTATTCAGTTGAAAAATAATTTGTTTGTTGTGTATAGAAAAGAAGGATAAAATTGAACTAATTATAATCATATTTAAACATTAAAATTCATTTTACATGATGAAAAAGACAATATTATGGGTGATCGATGTTTTTTTTTGTGCATCTTAACTTGCATGAGTATTGATATGTTGATTTGCAGAGTCTACATTATGAATCGATTTATGTATTTATGTGATTTGAACAAATTATTGAGGTTTAAGTTGAAACACAAGACAAAATAAAAAAATGATGAAAACTTAGAAGAAGTTCGTATGATGTGTGAATTTATAGTGATGGTATTCGGAGCTAATCATTGCCACTGCTTGAACTGTTCTTTGAACTGGACGATTCCACTTCACCAGTGCCTTGAAAAAATTTTAAAAAAAAAGCAATAAGAAATCAATTTTTATCATAAATTAGTGATCTTTCTACGAAATTTCTACTTTATAAAAAACCCTTTTGTGGTTTTCTACATGATAACAATATCAATTCCTATAAATCAGCGATCACTATATTGAGATAATTACTTGGACCACCTCCAGTGTTACTGTGTTGTCCACTACTGCCACCACCCATACCAGCCTTTGTTGATCCTTCACTATCTTGTGTTGTGGATATACCTTGGTCGCCTGATTGGCCAGTAGTACCAGTTCCACCCATTCCACCCAAAGTGGATGATTGATTAGAATTTTGTGAAGTATCTCGAGCTGACCACATAGAACTTGGTTTATACAAGAAAAATAAGTTTAACTTGAGTTTTAGTAATTGTGATGGATTGATCAATGATGATTTATTCTTATATACTACTCTGTATATATTCATGTACATGTGATCAAGACGACGTAAAAGAGCAATATAGTGCAGAAGAGCGAACAAAAAGAAGAACGTATCGATTCTTTTACTCAATATCACTCTCTTGTGGATGAGAGGTTGTCGAGGGCGAATTCATTATTGGTGCAAAGTTATAGCGAAGATTTTACATGGATTATTATTATGTAAATAACTAAAGAATGTAAGCAATTGGTTGCGAGTGTGGGTGTGGGTCTTAGTTCTCCTCACACCCTAGACCCACACCCACACCCTCGCTGCAGATGATCCAACTTTAGCCACTACCTATAATAATATCGCTGCCGCTTATAAATCGATGAATGACGAATATAATGCCCTTGCCTTTTACGAGAAAGCACTTGCAATACGATTAAAAAAGCTTGCAGCTGATGATCCATCGTTAGCATCTCTCTATACTGGCATTGCATCTCTACACTATTCGATGGATGATTGCTCAAATGCAACCACGTTTTATAAGAAAGGCATCGAAATTCTTGAAAAATCGTTGTTTTCAGATGATCTCGAATTAGCAACTAACTATAACAACATTGCTGTCGCTTATAAATCAATCGAAGACCTAACAAATGCTTTGGTATTTTATGAAAAGGCACTTAAAATTCGAGTTGAAAGGCTTTCATCAAATAACCCATCATTGGCTTCTCTTTACACTAATATTGCCTCGATACATTCATCGAAAGGAAATAAATCAGCTTCAGTTGAGTTTTATGTAAAATCACTTAAAATTCAAGAGACATTACCCTCACCTAATTATTCGTCGATGTCAGTGATGTATTACAATACAGCGATGGCTTATTAAAGTCTTCAGAATTATGAGGCAGCTCTCAAACATGCCGAGCGTTCTGTCGAAACAGCTCGTTTAGCTTTTGGCTCTGATCATTCGGAAGTAAAGGAGAATCAAATGCTGGTTGATAGACTTCGTAATAAAATATGATTGAAGTCTTTTCTTGCGAAATGAGAAGAGTGTCTCCGTACGTTCTCTGCTTTTATTTATCAGAGCACTATTGACTCACTGATGAGAGTGCGAGTGTGGTGTGGGTTTGTGGAGTGTGGGTCGAGTGGTGGGGGCCAATTTTCTCTTCATCCACATTCATACGCCTTTTCACATTGAAATATTGCAAAACAGCAGTAGCAACAAAAAGAGTGCCAATCGGCGAGAAAAGAAAATGAAGTAGACCAGGAACACAAAATCTTCTCTGTTAGTGTAATAATTGAATTTTCATTTTCTTATCCTAAATTACACTTTTTACTGGTAAAAACTTATTTTTCTGCTGATAAAATCTGTATTTTTTACTGTTTCAATTTCTACTTTTCACTGATCAAATTTATGCTTTTTATCGATATAAATTGTATTAGTTTACTGGTAACTTAGGTACTGATCATTTGATCATTATACTGATCATTCAATCTAGTGTACTAATAAAATATTTTGGTGCCTTTAAATATACGATAAAAATGCACTATCTCCGTAGCAATTAGCAAAGGGCATAGACTCCTTTCAGTATATTCGTAGCTCATTTTGATCTCCATTATGCACATAGTCGTGACCTGAGCTGTCAATCTGACAGGCCAAACTCAATCATGATATTTTGGTCTGATCTAATTGTCATTTCCTTCAAGAGTACAGTTAACATGCTACTTACCATTGAAACTCGGATCATATTGTGATTATCTCTGTATGATCTCACAGACATTTGTACAGTACTATGTCCATTGATACTGTTAATCCAGTATCAGCTATTTCAACTAATAAATAATAATTATTTAATTAATTTTATCAAATTTTATCTTTATTAAATTGTTCGACTATGTTATCGAGATATTTTCAATCAAGATAAATATATTGTCAATGGGAAGAATATTTCGTTGACAAAGAACTTCATCAAAATTTCAAATAAAAACAGTTGATTGTAATATAATGGTTTTTTGTTTTATAGAAAAAAGATCAATTGAATCATGCCAATATTATACAATCAGTTTATAAAAGAGATGAACAAAGTACATGCATAGAAATAAAGAATCCATATGATTTTTTTTCTTTTTGATCAAAAGTGAAAGATATTCTAGACATCCAATGAATATAAATTGTTTTTTCGTGTATTGATTGTGTCAGTAAGTTTTTGAAAAATTTTCGAATTCGGCAAATCTGTTCCGGACCTTTCTTTTTTCCACACTTTAACATGTTTATCTTCTGACAAAGCATTCTATCGATAAAGCTATTTCGATGATAATTATGTTTACTGATTGCTAGTGTTCGATTAGATCAATAATCCTTATAAATCAAATCTTATCTGTCAATCATAATTTTTTTTCCATGAATACAAGAAAAGATACATAGAGAGAATGAATTTCTCGAGAAATTCATCAAAACCAATTATGACCATCATGACTATTACAGGTTTCTTCTGCATATTTTAGAAAAGAATTGAATTTTCTGAAAACTTATAGAGCTTATCAAATCCTTTTGTATCTTCGATTATATTGAATGAATCATTATTGAGGTTCAAAATAAATTAAATTCTAACATATTAGAAGAATTGTATGGAACATAATAAAAAAAATAAAATTCAAAAAAATCGCATAAATACTAAATAGGGTTTGAAGAAAATTCATAGTAGAAATCCTATGAATAAACATCAAAATCAATAAATACATTCGAACGATGGATTTCAGTTTTTCATCTATTCTATAACATACATGAGTGATTTTTTCTTTAGCTGCTTTGAAGATGCACTGGCTATTATTTTTTTGCACTCTTTTCGTTCCCCTTCAATTACTCTACAAAACCAACGACAAATACAGTATTGACAATAAGAAAACAGAACGAGCAAATAGAATGTGTGTTGCTTGGAGGTTTTTTTCTTCATAGCCGACCGTATTGGTTTGAGGTGAAAACATCCTACGAAAGAAGGAAAAACAAATATCTAAAATTTTTCTGTTCTTCTATTGGATTAAGTAGTCATATGTTATGACTAGCATATGCTATTACAGAGGATGTGTTTTCATTAGTTTTACTCGTTTTTTTTATTATTCACTATGCATTTTTTAACAATACGCTTAGTGTATGAAATTATTTTCGAACCTATTACACATCTTTTACTTAGCGCTTTATGACTATAACTGAAATAATACCGAGTCTAGTTATTAGAACACACTGTTTAGATTATTATTAGGGTATTTCTGCCTATTTTTGAGGTTAATAAAACATTGAAAAATGCAATAGATTGAAGATAGAGTACATATGTTTCTTTTTAGATGATTTATTGTTCAAAAGATAAACTTAATTGCATTATTTTGCATTTCTTGTTTTTTTGTTATCCAAACATCATGTAATGCTGAAACAAAAAACATTGTTGACAATTGTAATCAAACTTTTAGAATAGATGGTTTTGTGTGAGCTTTAATTATTATTTCAGAAAGTTGATAGATATCTAGCTTTTCATGTGTGCTATCATTTAATATAGACACAGAATATAGTTTGTGTAAATATATTCATCGGAATTTAGCATAAGGTCTTGTTCAGTAGTTAATTTGAAAATTGTCTAATATTTTTTTTTCTTTACTTTTATCTTAATCCGTGCAAAATATTTCATAAAATTTTCTGAGTTAGACGCCTCATTTTCGGATCAATCTTGTGAGAAAGAAAAAACATTAACACAAATAACATTGTCAATAGCATAAGAAAGTATTACTTACCACTATCGAGGAAAAATTCAGAACATTTCTATACTGTGTTGGATTCACTATTGATCATTATTTTAGATATGAGAATATATTTTGTGTTTTATATTACATCATGCAATCTTTGTGCGTTGTGTATTTCTACATCTTTTATCTTGTTCAATTATGCTAGAGCTTTTGGTTACCATTTCAATGAGCGTTCTAAACTTATTATCAATAATAATTACTTGCTCTCTTTCTATCACCTTTTTCACTCTTTCTACTCTTCATCCTTGCTCTTTTTCTTGTATATAAGCTCATGTTCTAATTGACGTAGACACAATTAGAGAGGCAACGGTAGCGATAACCGATCTCACAGTCAACGGTGAAACAGAAATTTCTTGATTTGTTATTAAATGTGACCAAAGATAATCGTGGTCGAGAAATCCAAATATGCAATCAGATTCTCGAAATATGGTATCTGTTCAAGCAATAAAGACTCCGCTTCTCTTGACGACTGCGAATTTTCACCAAGTTTCATGGCAGGTCTGAAAAATCAAGTTTATTTCACAGATAAATGAAGTGTACAATTCCGAGAATCTGATTTCAGATTCGAATTCCTCGGTCCCGACTACCTTCGGTCAAACTTTATCAAAAATAGTTATTTTCTTAAAAAAAGCCTTTAGTTCTTGCAAAAATCAAATCAAGACATTTCGGTTTCACTGTTAACTGTGATGCTGGCTAATGAGAGTAGTAATTATGATACTCATCTGATTTGTTATTGTTGATCATCATAAGACACACATGGCATAGGTAACGAAATAAACCATCATCTCTCTCTTGTAAACATCGACTTTATAACGAACAAGAAATTGGTCCTGAGAATTTTTGTTTTATTGAAACCACCTTCAAATTTGTTGAATTTATTTCTTAACAATCGAATTGTTTGCCATTTTTCAACTAGTGCCATCGTACGTTTTATGTTCAAATGTGAAATGATAGCGTGTCAACCTCTTATGATCAGTTCTTTTCTATTTTGTTTCCAAATTAGTGACTATAAATTTGCATAGAGTAGTAATATGAAACTTTTGAAATGTTTGAAGATAAAATGATCATAACAGAGGTTTTATGCTTATTTCTAATAATTCAATTATTTTCCTCTACATTGTTAGAAATATCATTAGAACAAATCAACTATCATGCCGCCAACCTTCGAACTAGTCGTTTGTATAACAGCTGCAGCACTTTTCGATTGTACTGAGGCACGCGAAATTTTGAATCGTGATGGATTTGAAGCATGTAAAGAACATCAACGTGCTAATCTTATGGTACCTCATCAACCTGGTGTCGGTTATCCTCTTGTTCGATCACTCTTAGCATTGAATGAAGCCGCTGAAAAGCAACTGGTAGAAGTTGTACTCATTTCTTGTACAGATAGTGATTCTGGCGAACGAATACGGCAATCTATCCATCATTACGAACTACCTATTACACGTATGTCATTTACTGGTGGTACAGATGTCACAAAATACTTATTGGCGTGGAAATGTGATCTTTTTCTTACTGCAGATGAAGATCAAGTACGCACAGTATTGTGTGGTACTAGTTCTAAAGCATTTACAGGCATTGCAGCTGCTTTAGTGTGCAGTATAGTAAACACGACACCAAATATTTCTTCCAATCCAATACAAATACCTGAATCTCTTCATTGTCAAGAATCAGATTCGAAACTTGATATGACAGTATTGCCTTCGGAAGTAAATACATCAACCAAATATGTTCCATCTGCTTCATTACCTTATTTATCATGGCCAGAAGGTCAAGTTCGTATTGCTTTCGATGGAGATAGTGTACTTTTCTCAGATCAAGCAGAATGTGTCTTCAAAACAGAAGGACTTGAAGGATTTTTCGAATTCGAACGTAAACATGGGCACATTGCTTTACCAAAGGGTCCTATGCAAGCATTTGCTCTTAAATTTCAAAAACTTCGTCAATCACTAGGAGAGAATCATAAATGGAGAGTACGTACATTTTTGGTTACTGCTCGTAATGATGTAGGTAACATACGAGTATTTCATACTTTCAAAGAATGGGGTCTCGAAATTGATGAGACACATTTCTAAGGTGGATTAGATAAAACACCATTTTTACAAGCAATCAATCCAGCTATTTTCTTTGATGATTCAAGAGAACATATTGATTGAGCTAAAATTTATGTTCCATCAGCACAAGTTATCTATGGTATTAACAATTTTGATACTAGCATTGTAATAAGATCAATATCTATTGAAAGCAAAGACGTGCAAAATGAACATTCCACGTAAACATATTAATTCATGATGCACTAAAGTTTCTCCTCTTAATTATCTGTTCGCTTATCTATTTTTATTTTATCTGTTTTCAATCAATCTTTTTTTCTTAATCTTTTATTATAATAAAATTACATGCTTTTTTTTTGGATTTAATAAAGAAAACTAAATGATAACGATAAAAAAATATTTGTTATACATATTTCAGTAGCTTATAACGATAATTATTTTACAGAACGAATCTTATATTATTAATCATTGTTGACTGAATGTTAGAAGTGAGATAGTAAAAATATATTTTCGTACGGATGTGGATGGATGTTGGTGTGATCTCTTCTTTGGCACCCATATGCACATATACCCACACCCCGCAATTATCATTATCTTTTGTTTAAATACGCCAAATAGAATGCTGCAAAAGGCAAAGCAACAATAGTTTCCCAAATGAGATGACGAGGAAACATAAATTAATACTAAATATTTGATTCATTTGTTAGAAATATTAAATCTTGAGTTATTCCTTATTCTCAAGTTTGCTTATTGTATTGTGAATGTATTGGATATTTATGTCAATAATAGCATAAAGTTCGACTAGATATATAGAGAAATATAATTTCTAAGAGTGAGCTCTAGACATAAACAGGTTCATGTTGCTTAATCTTGGTTAAAAATAAATTCAATGGTGATGATACTCTTAGAAAAATTTTTATCAATATAGATCTTACAAATATTCAGTATCGTTGCCTATGAATTTGAAATGCATTCCTGCTTACTATGATTTATTTGGTCACTATTATTCTCCTTGCTAGAGGGTTAATTCGACATGAACAAGATTATTGTTTTAGTCTTGGTTCTAATTCTTCTATCTCAAATATGTCTTCATTTTTGTGTCTTGTATTGGACACCATGACGNTACCTGCCTTTTTTTTTTAAACGGACATTAGTTGATTTACTAGGATTTCTAGGGTATGGGCGTGGATGTTGAGAAGAGGATGCACATAACTATACCTATACATCCACACCGTACACCATATTCAACCTACACCAGAGATGGGCACAGGATCGTCCTGTCCTGTAGGATAGGACAGAAAAAGTCATCCTGTGCCCATCTCTGACCCACATCCATTTGAATTTGTTAAACCATTGAAATATTCGAGTAGTAAATCAACTAATGTCCGTTTCAAAATAAAAGGCAGGTAGCCATTTTATGAATAACTTTCGCTGAGTACAAGATAAAGATCTGCCGTTTTCATCATTTGAAAGAACAACGTCCGAACCATCGATCTGCAAAGAACTCATTAAGACGAAAGATGCTTTTTTATTGCTGTTTTTGGATGAAAACTTTTTTCCTCGCGTATTTTCATCAATTTTCACAAAATCTCAGCTCAAATCACCTTCTTTGACTATGAGATTATCAGACGTTTTATCATTCCTCAACCTCTTATTCTAAGCGGATTAACAAAAAAAATGTAATAATCTCGTAGAGAAAAAAAGTGATTTGAGCTATATTTTTATGTAATTTGAGCTGAGATTGTTGTGAAAATTGATGAGAATGCGCGAGGAAAAAAGTTTTCATCCAAAAGCACTTATAAAAAATAGCATCTTTCGTCTTAATGAGTTCTTTGTAGATCGATGGCTCGGACGTTGCTCTTTCGTATGATGAAAACCGCAGATCTTTATCTTGTACTCAGCGAAAGTTATTCATAAAATGACAATCTGCCTTTTTTTTTTAAACGGACATTAATTCATCAAATAGTATAAATCAGTCAATGACTAGTATCATTAGTTGGATATTACGCATNAACCTGTCTTACCCGTTGTAAGCCAGTATAACGATCACGAATGATAACGAAACGAAATCTTACTGGAAATTTATTACCATTATATTATGTGAAGTATGATCAAATAGCATAGAAAGAAAGAGCATTTTTTTCTCTATCATCCTGTGTAAAAAGAAACTTTTATCAAGCTTACTAAGTGGTACTAAAATGTCGTTGCCACTACTTTTGGATACCCCTAAGTAATATAATCGTGTGATGACTAATATGATTAGGCGTTACTTCATGCAAAGGAAAAGAGAAAAAAACAAGGATCAGACAAATGTTGTCAATATTTTTCTTTACAGTTCTGCACGTTGAGTTATTGCACAAGCTGATGAAATAGTCGGTATACCATGGAAATTTTCACAAGTCATGAAGCTCAGCGTTAATGCACTTCATCATTAACGTCGTCGCTAATTGTTCCATGTCGTGAAAACCGTAAGAGTGTGGATCTTGATGGGAATATTGTACTCGTCTTTCACCTACATTCGCAACCTTTGATCATTCAAAATGTATTATTGTCACAGGAAAACTTCTTGCTTTAAAGACGCAAATACTATGGTAGTCTTCCAACTGAACGGTTGAAGATTATGCAGGTCATTCACAGAAATCGATTATTTTAAGGGTAGGTGTGTGTGAGAGACGATGAATCGAATATGAACACCCACATCTCAATATAACACTTTAACAACTATGAAGATATGTTAAAGGGCCTCCTAGAAAAAAGTCAATTTTCATCAGAAATTTCGAATTTGAGATAAATGCATGGGAAGATAGCCCCTCTTTTGCTCTTTCAGAAACCATATCGGTTTTTCTTTGGTACCTTATTTTTGGCCAAAAATTTCGATAATTTTGATTAACCTCTTCTTGAAAAATATGCTTTTTTTGAAAAAATGAAAAATATTTTTTGTTTTTTCTCGGTTTATGACTTTTTTTAATCTTCTGACAAAGAACTCTCGGTTCAGACTCTGTCAATATATTTAAATCATTTTTCTTTGAAAAAGCGCGTCTAGATGCAGTGTGTGAGTATGGGTGTTCTCTTTATGTACTAGCACACTCAGACACATTTGCACCTATACCCACACCCACACCCGCACCCTCAAGAGGAGATGAGCATGCGTCGAATCATATATAAGGGTGTAGGTGGGTGTATGCGTTTTCTCGATCAAGAAAAAAACTAGACCCCATCCCCACCCTACTCATACCCTATCTCACATCTAAACCAGTCAAAACCGGTTTGGCAAGTCTAAATTTTCTATTTTTATGCTTTTATCACTAAGATTAACGCAGCGTTGTAGTTGGCTCCAATTTGTATAATAGTGTGGATATTTTATGTGATCAGTTTGGTTCCTCTCATCCGCTTTTTTTACATGATCGGTTGGTCAAGATTTTAAGAGAAGCAAAAACCCACTATCGATAAAAATTATCTGAGGAATTTGTGTAGAAAAATCTCTTGTGTACTATATATCAACGATATCAATTACTGGTACTCCAGTATTTGCTTTTAGACCGGTTTCGATCGGTAGACCTGTAAAACCAGTATACTGGTCAGTCCAGTGTGATCTGAAAAAAGCTAGGCTTGTTTCATATCTGACCTACATCCACACATCCATACTCATACCCTCATCCAACCATCCACAGCCACACTCAACCGTAGCCCATCTTCAGTTTTCTATTGTCAATCAATTTTACTTTCTTAAATGACATTACATTATGGATGTTATCAACATGATCAAAATAGATGATTTAATAACAGATGAATTATATAATAAATACTATCAAATTAAATTGATGTACGATAGCATGAAAAATAAAAATGTTAAAATAAGTGAACAAAGAAAACCATATAATTCAAGCAAAAATATTGATAATCCGAAATCAACAATACATAATCATCGTGAAATTCGATGGGAAATAGACTATGATGCAGAAGGTGTTTTATTTTATGAATGACAAGATAGAAAGGAATATATTAAGCCTGATCAAATGTGGTCATATTAGTTGAATGTTAAAGCTAATGCAACACCAAATATGCACTTGATTATTGCCTATGTTGAAACCATATTAAGTCATATGAATTACTTATGAACTGATTATCGGAATAGAATGGACATTGAATTAGTTAAAGCTGAAATGCAAATCAGAAAAAATTCTAAAATCTCTTATGTGCACTTTCATGAATTTCTTTTATCTCAGCCAAATTCATTGAAGGAAATAACATCAAATAAAAAATTTGAAAAAAAATGGAACGCATTCTTGTCAAATCTACTTTGGTTTTTTTATACAAGCGTTTGTAACTGAATTTGTAAATATATAATTTGTTTTTGCTTCCTGTTTTTTAATCACCTACATGTTTTCTTGAGAAAAATGATCTCAAGTAATGAATTAACTATTGTATTTTTCTTTACTATCAATGAGCTTTACATGAATAAATGATAATCAATAAGGAAAACATTTTTTCTTTAAAAAAACAAGGTCTACTTATGCATCGAAAAGTTAGATAATTATTTTCCGAATTTTTAGAAACTAGAGTCCAACTTTTCCGGATTCCAATATAAAAAAATTCGATTTTTAAGTTTTTCATCTGGCAATGCTGCCCCGTTGACGATGCCATGTGAAAAATGACACGATGCTTATTTTTCTAGATTCGTGGCAATAGTATATAAATATGATGTGATTATTTTTCTGATAACTTCATGATTCTTACTGGCACGATCACTTCTCTTCGTTGCATTCGCTTGAATAGAGTAGTTGAGTCGTCAATTTTTCTCGTTATTAGCGATTTCTATAGATTATTGGTTGAGCTTTGACTTTGGTCAAGTGTGCGTGTTTACATATTCTACAGTGACTCAAAACTTGATGTATAAACACTTCGACATACGAATGCAGAAAAAATTCGTTTTATTTTATACACAGCAAGGTTATTTGAATATATGCGATATGCAGGTATTCTTTATTATACACTTCGAGTATGCTTTTCTTTAACTAGAATGAGAAGTCGACGAGTACTCCATTATTTGTTTTCTGACTAATATGTCGCCAAAGGTTGCAACATTTTGGAATAGAATGAAAAAGAGTTTGGCTCGACAATTGAACAAGTCAATTATGTGAGAAATCTTATAGTCAGTGAGAAGAGAAAAACCTGATATTTTTTCAAACGAATATTCAGCTGCTAAGATGGCAACACTTTCAGTTGTTATCTTTAGCCTATCATACATTGGAACATGTCAAGAAAAAAAGTGATCGAATATTTTCCATCAGTTGATCAAATACTCAGAATTCTCATTTCTCTCCGCATAAGAATGTTGATTTGTGACAACAGTACGTGAGGTGTCGATGGAAAGACGATTTTCTCAATTGCTGAGAACGCTCTTTCCAGTTTTTCGATCCAATTTCGAAACAAAACACTTTCAATTTATACTGTTACCTTCTCCTGAATTGTAAAGTATCCAGCTCAAAGACCGGAACGAATAAGAAAACCTTCATTCTATTCGGTTTCGGTCTCTGATTCAGATAAACGACATGAAAAGTTACGACTAGGTATGTGATAGTTCAAGTTCAACAGTTCATGAGCTCTTTATCGAAGTATTGGCTCATCAGTTCAAGCTCAGATGAGTTGTAGTTGTCAAAGGCGTCTCTTTAAGCTCATGCAGAATATATAAGATGTAAAGACACATTTCTGTTTCTTCGATTTTGCGATAGCGTTTCTTGAAGCACGCTTACCTAGCTCAATAGAACCTTCACAAATAGTAATTCAACAAACATAATAATATGTCTATATTTTCTGTCCTAGTAGATTCATCCGGTGCAACGATCTGTGAAACTACTATATATAAGGAACATCTCGATCGTTGTACTAATGCGACATCTCAATTTACCTGTATATGATATGCAGAAATTTTTCCTTCTATATTTTGGAACTTCACAATGAGAGAAGCAATCGCATTTGTTTGCGTTTCTCTTCATTCTACATCAACGCCAAAAAGAAACTCTTGCTAAGGTAATATTTCACAATCACGTCACTATCGTGACACGTACATTGTAAAATTTTAAATAGAACACATAGTCGTCCATGGCAAGTAATGAAATCCCGTCAATGCAAATATTGCCAGTCGAATTACTTTATCGGATTTTTGACAGTCTCGATCCTGAGACAATCATACTTACACTTCGGCAAGTGTGTCGATTATTCAGAGCTCTTGTGAAGAACTACGGTCGATATTCTCTTGATTTCAAATCAATTTCAAAGTTGAATTTTCATCTGCTTTGTCGATTGATTCATCCTTCAAATGTTACTGCACTCAGACTATACAATGGTGACAGAACACCTGATCAAGTGGATTTGTTTTTGCCGCTCTTCCACATTGGACAACTCACTCGACTTCGCTCATTATCTCTTTCTGAAATCGATGAGTTTCAGTTGGACATAATATTGAAACGTGTCAACATTAAACTGCTCTACTCATTTTCACTCAATATTCGAAATTATGATGACAGGCAAAGAAAAACAACTGCGAGTCTTCTCTCATCAGTTATTGCACAACCCAACATCTATAACCTCGATTTGCATATAAAAAATGATCGAATACATAATATACAATGGCCAATCAATTGCACAGTTCGATATTTCAAAATAAATGAATATATAACTTTCGATTACCTTTCCAATATCTTTCAGTGCTCTCGTCATCTGCAAACACTCATAATTAGACACAGCCTATACCACATTACCAATGATACTATCTTAACATCTTCTCGTTCAACATCATTTCGCCAATTGACCTCGCTCACTATTGAGCAACCGGATGTGTCAATTGATAAGATGGAATATTTTCTTTCACTGACACCTTCGCTTGTTTATCTCAAATTGATTGGTTATGAAAACACGCTTGATGGCAATCGCTGGGAGCAATTCATTAAGACAAATCTTCCCCTGTTAGACAAATTCGAATTTTTCTTTAATAATTGGCGGCCAGGTCATAATCGAAATTCTATCGACATCGAGTTGACAATTGCACCATTTCGATCAGCATTTTGGGTCGAATACAAAAAATGGTATGTCATCTGTGAATATAGGATTGACAACTTATGCGAGATCTATCTCTATTCGATACCAGTATGTACATCCTACATGCAATACGAGGCGGATTTGCAGAAGATTTCCCTTTCTACTTATGCTCAGACAATGGACAAAGATCCATCAATCATGGACAATGTGGATACAGTTTCTTTATCTATGACAAAAGCTATGGCTGCTGATATTGAACAAAGAGTAAGTCGAAGAGAATAGTTGGAGTATACAGTGAGAAGATTGGATCTCTCCCATTCCCAACAGATTGTTTCAAGGTGATGAACAGATCTATCATAAGAGGTGACGAGATAGTAGAAAGTATCGATTGCGGTAGAAATGGATTTTACTAAGAAGAGAGGGTAATGACAATTTGAGCATGTCCATAAGCATATTTGACATATTGATTCTGAAATGTCTATGCTAGAAGCTTGCTACTTCGATACAGAAACTTTTTATTTTAGATCTGCAAGTATTTGTTGTCCTATCTGAAATCACTATTAATATTGACCTAATATCAAGGCGCCGCAGGTACTATTTCTTAGTATTCCTTCAAGATCTTCTAACAGTTAAACCGAACTTGAGCAAGTGTCGATTCTTTGACTGATAAATTCTTCGGAAAAATCTATGCAAAATCAACGGATATGTTTTTCACCCAGTTTCATGCTTCGCTTGTGTTTAAAAAATAAAGAGCAAATATTGTCGCGCTCGCACTAATATGAGGAATTAGAATGTTACGATAACATGACGCTTATTTCCTAGACTTTTCAATCTGAACATTCGAATAAATTATTCTTTGACTTAAGTCAAGAGACATATTTAAGCAATTCTAACTGTCTATCTAACATAAAGTTTTGCTTTACTTACCATTGAATGTTCGTTTCTCCCATTGAAATGCTGAAATTTTCCATGTATCACTGTTTGCAGAGTACAACATCAAACCATCCCTTATTTCGCAAAGCGACCAAACTTCATCTTTGTCAGATGAAGGATTGGCCCTTGGTTACGTTGGAGTCTCTTTCATCTATTATTGATCTTTCGCAGCTCGTTGAAATCAAACTGAAGAGCAACTTTTTTTGTGATCGAAAGATGAATATATTGAATGACATAGCCACCTTCATTCAACGGGCACAAAACGTTAAGTCATTTATAATTAACAATAGTTCATACAAATACAGATCTCATTTAAATGCAAAGAATATTTGTTTAATGGTTCCGCATCATGTGAAATATTTGGAAGTGCCAGTGAGACATTTTCAGGATATGAAAATGATTCTCGAACGCTGCCAACACTTATCATGTGTCCGATTCAACATTGGAAATTCGAGATTCTCTCCGAAGACCGTACAATGGCTCACAGAGAATACAATTTATTCAACATATCGGGAAGGTGAGAGAACACTGACTGTGTGGCTGGGAAGAATTAAGATTGAGCCAAACGAAGTGAACGTTAATCACAAACGGATCAAGTTAACGGATAGCCATGATGACTTTTGAATTTCTTGGTACTCTGATAACTAAAAACTTCAAGATCTTTGATTAAAATGCAAAAAAAAAGACTTGCGGTTAACAGCTACCTACAGAATTAGTAGATAATATTTGTGCTTTCAAAATCTTAGCTGTAGAAAAAAGTGCTATATCATCTAAAGATTATTGAGAGATATTGAACCCAGAATTGATCTAATGAGATTTCCGATATCTGACCAATGTAAAAAGATGTGCGGCTTTAGCACAAAAACCGACGCTTACATTCGTGAAAAATTTCAAGACTTGATGAAAAACGATTTTGCCTTTTTGACAATAAAAGCGCAACGAAACTTTTCTAAAATCCAGGATGTGGGTATGAGTCAAGAGACGGTTAGCAAGCGCACCTTCTTTAAGAGATTTCTACAATATTCTCGCATGAACTTCAGAAGCTCTTCATGATTCATCACTCTAATACACAAGATTTTGTTAACGTAGGTGATAAGTGATATTTTATGGGCAGAAACAACTGACGTGTTGTATACACTGGATTCTTTAATACAGTAATGTGAAACTTATTATTTCGATGCGAGTTGGGTAGATGTGGGTGTGGATGTGCCTGAAGAAACGAACGAACACCCACATCCACAAACCCACACCCCAAATCAGGCAGACTCAGCGAGCAATGGTTCTTTGTTATGAGTTCATGAAAATGACCTGCATACCATGTTTCACTTAGGTAACGAGTATGAACCATAGTCATAGTTGAGTCTCTGACTTTGTACTATGAGAAATAAGCAAAATCTTTATTCGGCAGCAGTGGTATACACTTTGTTTCAAAAGGTAGTTTTCTTGTTGGCATCCATTTTACTATTGAGATCTTTAATTTATTCGAACTGTCCATGGAAAACCGGAAGGTTTAGACAAATTGATAGATCAGAGAGCTGTTGATCATTTTTATCAACAATTTAATTGTTGGCAATGAAAATATTGCAGCGAAATCACGATATATTCAAATATATCGAAAATAATTTTTGGTTGCAATCATACATGATTTTGTAGACCATTCCAAGTGATATATTTTGATATAAAAAGATGTCTCTGTCTAAAAGATACTAGAAAAGAAATATTTAAAATACAAACAGTATAATTTACTCTGCACCACCACACATATGTTCTGAAACTTGACTGATAACAATCTGATTGGGTCAACCATCGAATGATTTCTGTGTGATACAATTACTCCTTCCCTCTTTTTCTCTTTCTCTGATACAATTGTTTTGATGTGGATTGATGTATATCACACACTCCTTCTAAATACTATATCGAATACTTGTATCAGACAGATTTGACATTTGTTTGAATTTTATATTTTATGGAAGAATCGCGTATTATTGAGTTACTATAACGTGTTAATAGGAAGAAAAGTACTTGTTGTTTTGAATTCTTATCTGATATTTTCTAGATATGATTTCATGCCTTAAATCTTTTCAGCTAAACTTTTATTTGATATGTTCGAATATCTATCACCAGATGATTTATTTCGATCATTCATTAATCTCAATGATCGTTTTAATACTATTGTTTATTCATAACCACTTTACCTTGTTATCATTGACAACCTAAACAAGTCATTTCAATTATATTTTCTGATGAAGCAATACCTCATCAAGTTGAAATATTTAAGAAATATTTTCCATTTTTCAAGCATCACTTTATTCATCTTCAATCAGTAACATTCATTGAAGCATTTTACAGTAAGATTGATTCACCAGAATCTTTTCAATGTTTCGACATTAGAAAATATGATACTTATACGAATTTTGAATTTAATTTAGATCAATTACTTGCAAAACCAGCAAAAGTATTGATCCATTTAAAAATTGATAGAATTCATATACTTAATTATATCGATACTCAATTTCCAATGCTAACTCATCTAACAATTGACGGCGGTTTCGTTCCTGACAATGATTGTTATACTAAATGTAGTACTTAGTTTAACAATGTTAATACGAATTCGAATTTTCGATACGTCGGATATTCAATTACATATTTTTATCGTTTTATTGATAAAGAAAATAAAAATATGAAAATAAATCGTGAACTTTTTTCTCATTGTCTAACTCATTTTATGCTTCATTTTGTTGTAGGCAAAAGAAAAACAAATACTTAAAAATTCTTTGCATATGTTTTATCTCATCATAGATATTGTAGTATCATTTCAATCTCTTGAATAATATCTTTTCACTTTACATCAATTAACACATCTAACTCTTCGAGCAAGTGGTAAAATGATTTAATTGACAGTAATCAGTGGAAAAATCTTATTCTAAAAACAAATATTATTAAATTCAATGTTGATTATTAATTTTGTAATCATAATCAACATGGATCAATATTACTCGAATAATTTCGTTGATCATTTTGACTGAGAAAAACATTGCGATGTTGAAAATCGTATTGATGAAAAGAATGAACAAATATTCTTATATACAATATGCCGATTTTGACTAAAAAATAGTCTTCATCCTTCATCTATTTTTTCACCTATAACAGCAGTACCATTAAATATGGAATATTTTTTTTTTATAAAAACAAAATCAATTCTTTATTAATCAACATTGATAAGTTTATACTACCACCAACTCATCGTTTTACACAAGAGTGTGGGTGTAGCTCTTATCTTCACACTCATACCCCCAATCATATATCAACTAATCAGAAATAGCTCAAAATGTCTTGTAGAAGCGAATGAACTCTCTTCTCTGTACAGTCCATATGTCCTGACTTTTTAGTGTATTGCTTTGTAGCAAGGAAACGAGAAAGAGAGCTGATTGATACTTATATTTGTAAAATAAAAACACTGAATCATCATCATCATCATTTTTAATAATTATTTTGCATATAGAAGTGACATGAGTCGCTCCAGGCGGCGGTACGGTTTTTTCTTTTACTTTACGTGTAGAACACAAAAAGAATTGGTTCACTTATAAAAAACGACCAAGTTTTCAAAGTTGCGATGGAGATAGTATACTCTTTCCGTTCCTTCTGCTGGCACTACACATTCTGTGTACAGCGAAAATTATGACGAACGAAGAAATCAGAAGAAAAGAAAAAGCGCACTTCACAATGCACTACTGCCACATGCACTTTATTGGGATACCATCTGTTGAAAAAACTCAACGTAGAAAATAGCATTTACTCTGCCAAAGTACCATTATCGAAATTATTACTCCCTCTCTCCTTCGCCTACTTCGCTATTGATATTGAGAATTTGAAAGTTTTGAATTCACAGGAGTCGTACCGACGAGTTCTTGTTTCTATTTACATCTTTCACTCATACGAAAGAGAAAAAGAATAGAATCGATTTCTTAGTTATGTTGAAAAGAGAAAAGTAACGTATTCCGACTGTTTTATTTTCATAAGCACATATCAACACCGAAACAAACTTCACAAATTCATTTGGAAGGGTCGATTAGTTGTAAGTGTTATGAGGAAAATCTGTGCACAAATCTTCGTCATGCCTGATGCGATCCTTGGATTATGATGTCTTCTTGTAAAAAAGGTGGCACATTGCGAGAAACTGACTCAATTTGACGTACCGTGGAAGTGACCGGAACTCTCACATTGTTTAGTGATTCAGGAAACTAAGTAGTGATTTTTTGACAAGAGCAAGTTTGTAGGTACTCACAATAATTTGTACAGCGGTATCTAGATGAAAGCAAGAGATCCGGCAACAAATATTGAACTGATCTCAGTGGGTGCGGATGTATAGTTGTGCTCTCTTTCTAGATGTCATTTTTGAAAGGTTTAATCGATACAATTGAAGGTGGCAGTGGTGATCACCGCCATCAGAATACTCCGCAATCTCAACCTCATGGTTCGTGGCCACATGAAGATTCGACTAATTCTGACGGACGTCGACAGGAGCAGTACCATGCCGGATCTCCGTTTCAAGGACAGCCGCCGGAGAATCCATATCAACACGGTTATTCATACCAAGATCCTCCGGAGTCCTATCACTATCAAGAGGGATACGGCCGACCCGAGTACAACCAACAGCAGGGTCTACCTCCTAACTTTGCTCACCAGCAATCGCCGCCTTATGGAAACTACAATCAGCAAGAGATGATTGATCGACAGTGGCACAATGTGCATAATCGAAGCCAATCTCCTCGTCAGTTTGAAGAACATGGACGTGACCGTCACCATCCAGAAGGATATGGGCACGGTCATGAACACCATCACGAACAGCATGAAGAATATAGAGGAGAGCGACGCCACTCGCGCGAAGAAAACAGACATCATCACGAACATCAACAAGAGCATAGGCGCGAGCGAAGCAATTCGCGCGATTAACATCAATATCATCACAAAAGGTGCATTAATGACAAACTGTTTGCTCTATTCCTTCATCCAAACCTAATAAACTTTATAGTGTGTTTGAAATAAGCAGACATGCTAGGCTGAGACTGCCGTAATCATATGCTTATTGACGACTCATTTTTTTTCTCGATTTTATTCTCCTATCTTTAGTTCCACGCTCTAACGTTCTTTTTTGTATTGTCCGTTTCTTCTTTATGTAATTGTATTCACTATCGATGCTCTTATTCATTTGAAAACCCCATCCACTGCAGATCAATCTCCGTTTATAATAAATCACTGTATTGAATATAGATTACTAAACAGTTTTTTGATAAACTTGTTTAACAAAAAAATTGCAAATAATAAAGGTTCCTAGTTCGAACATTTAAAGTAATAAAAACTCAACCGACACTTTTCTGTAGAATTGCGCCTGCAGGTCTCAATACTTTTGACACGTCCTAAGTATCTCCAACAATATCACACATTTCTTTTTCTTGTTAAACAGAGAGCCACAGAAAAATACTAGATGAGTGAAACCTAACAAAAATGATACTCAGAGAATGGGTATGAAGTTTCTTGACAACATCGAAAATGATTCGAATATTGACTTTTCCCACTCCACTGGTGCTGAAGTCAGATAGTCGAAAATATGAAAATAGCTACAAACGGTCCAAATGAATGAAATACGAACATTTTTCAAATGTTCATACTG